GTGTGTGTGTGTGTGTGTGTGTGTGTGTGTGTGTGTGTGTGAGGGGAGAGGGGCGGGGGTGGGGTCAGGTAAGTAAACCACCTTAAAGAACCTCCTAGACATAAATGAGCAGTTAACCCGTACAATGTGGTGTTCACCCCCCACTGCCAGCTGGGGTTTTGTTTGCTTGGAGATAGTTTCAAGCTGGCTGTACAAGCTGGCTGTACATGGATCACATTTTGTCCAAGTTCTGCTGGAATTCAAACAGTGTGTGGTCCTGTTGGCACCCCTCCTTCTGACAATTTTTGAAAAATCCTGAAAATTGTCTGCCGAACAGTGATTTCAGCCAGTCAGCTGCATTCACTTTTCAAGTATTCTGAGAGTTACACACCCACTGTTGTCAGCAGGGCCGTCCCTACCTTTTAAGCCACCTGAGATGGCCAGGAGAAAGGGGGGGAGCGGGGGGCTAATGCAGTCCGGATTTGTCCGAGCTGTCAGTCGTGGAGAAGGGGTGGGAGCTTGGGCCGAGCCATCAGATGACCATAAGATGCCCCCTGAGGCTACTGCTTTAGGCTGTCTCATCATGGGGACGACCCTGGCTGTCAGAATACAATAGCCCAGTGTGGGGGCGGATTCTCCCCATCCAGGCTACTTTTTTTATGTAGTTCAGCACCTGAACACTATGGGCTACGTCTATGAACTTTGCACAGTACTAGTACCCCTAAGGGTGTGATAGTTTAGTAAATGAAGCCCATAGTGTACGGTCAGCATTACAGGTCTGGTCAATACAAAACGGATATTTGGGTTCTAGCTATACACCAGGTAATAGTTTTATAAATGAAGCCCATAGTGTACAGTCAGCATTACAGGTCTGGTCCATACAAAAACAGATATTTGGGTTATACTTGGGCCCAAATCATCCAACACCTGCTGACCCATGGGGGAAAATCAATCTTCCTTATTGTTCTCACGGCCATAGGAGAATAGAGCTGACAGGTTCTGTATTATGGAGCAATGACTAAAAGGTGGACTGAAGCGTGACGTTCCTGCTCCGCTTTCCCAGGAGCAGTAGTAGAAGGTGAGCAGATCAGTAGAAGGCGAGAAGGAAAACGATTTTACAAACGACGTTTGTTTACACCTAAGGCCACAGAGACAGGGCACATGTCGCCCCGGGCCACTCACAGGGCAATGTAATATTAGAGCAGCTCTCCCTTAGAAATGAGAACTGACAACACGCCAGCTACAGCCGGCCGGCCAATCCAGCACGTCATATTTTCCAGCCACAATGGAAATAGCAGGTGGGCAAAGCTCAATTCCTTGGAAGAGGAGATTATTATGTTTATACCGCATGGAATTTTCTTATAAAAACTTAAGAGCTTTTAGTACACCTGAACAAAAGTGTACATGTGTCTGATCTGCGGAGAACCATGCTGTTCACAAAGCCCTGACTGCGTGGATTGCAGGCTTTTCTTTCTGGACAGTTTAAAAGCTTTTCAAACACACACAAAACACACACACACACACACACACACCTTGGATTTTTCAGCCAATCTATACATGCTTCAGATCCTCCAGTGATCAGCCTACATGACATGCTATAGCTTTTGTCATACTTGTCATTTCCTTTCAACTTCCAGTGCATTACACTCTAATAGATGTCCATTCCAAGAAATCCTATTCACATAACAAAAGTTGGAATTCTAGAAAGATTAGCTTTTAAAAGATTGCCATGACCAAAAAAAAATAAAAAAATAAAAAATGGTACTGTACTAGGAAAACTAGGACACGCTGGCTAATGTGGAACACGATTTCTCAGCCTGTCGTACCCCCGGGGGTGCCCGAGATAGATGCACAAAACCTTTTCAAAATGAACTCCAAATATGTATCTAGATCTCACACACATAAGAAAAAATAGAATAAGAAAAAATAGGATAATAAATAATAATAATAATAAATAGATTATATACACACACACACAGTACATACACATATTTATCTGCAATATACCATGATCAAATAGACAATGTTTACACAACATTTCTTCATCACAGTAAAGGTGACCTAGATTCTAGCCCAAGGGTGCAAAGGGTGATCTAATAGTAGATTTGTTAAAGTATGACTAAGGAAAACGTTCTTTTTATATATAGGTTAGGAAAAGCAGAGACAAGTTAGATCCCCATTAGGTTTTTACTGATGTCTGTGTCCCTGTTAGGGAGATTGACCCTAATTGTCCTGATCACCAGGAATAAAAGTGAGGGGAAATCCATAATTTGGGTCGTCACCAGAACAGGAATAGAGGGGAATTTTCCAATGGGGACACTCGTTCCTGTGACAATTGTCTAAGAGGGGATGTCCCTTACATTGGAGAGATATCATTCTCAATCCTGTTAAGTCTAAGGCCCTATTCACACTGAGCGACACTTACCTCAAGCGGATCCGCGCGACTGTTCGGGCGACGACCGCGCAACCTTCCCCGTCGGGCTGCATGCAAAAATCGTGCGACATCCGCAGGAAAAACAGTCCTGCACAAGCGACACGCGACATGGAGCTGTAGCATAGAACAGCTCCATTGAAAATCATTGGACGGCGACTTCTCGCGATATCACGCGGCAAATATGCGCGATATCGCGGCGGAAAACGCGCGATTAAACGCTCAGTGTAAATGGG